CTCGCTGGTGTGAAATGCCATCTATAAAGCATCTTGTACAAATTGTTCTTTTAATAACATATGCTAGATGTTGTTACCAGATGCATAATTTACTTATTTTTTGTTTGCTACTTTAGACTAACAGATTTCTTCTTATAATTTTGTTGTACTGAGTTTCACTATTGTTGGCTCATTGCACCACATCAAATTATTAGTCACTAAGGGCAATATAGTTGGAATTAGCATAGCGAGTACTTATTTGAAATTAACTAATACACCAGTAGTTGGTTACACAAGGGATTCCCAAATTGTTGGTTGCAATAACTAACCTTGGATGTTACAGCATCTCACCAAACTGAGATTATCTCAAAACTATGTTACATGTGCAAATCCTGCCATTGTGTATTGTAGTCCCCATGTGTGACAAAGGTAGGTAAACCATAGTACAGGTAGTCCTTGATTTACAACAGTTCATTTAGTGACTTTTCAAAGTTAACAACGGCAGTGAAAAATGTGAAAACCGTTTTTCACACTTACTTTGCAGCGTCCCTATGATCATGTGATCAAAATGCAGATGTTTGGCAACCGACTCATTTATGACCATTGCAGTGTCCTGGAGTCATGTGATCCCCTTTTGTGACCTTCTGACATGCAAAGTCAATGGGGAAGCCAGATTCACTTAACAACCTGGTTACTAACTTATCCACTGCAGTGATTCACTTAACAACTGTGGCAAGAAAGGTCGTAAAATGGGGCAAAACTCAAATGTCTCAACAGAAATGTTGGACTCAATTATGGTCGTAACTTGAGGACTACCTGTATTCAGTACATAAAATTGCAATGCACTTCTTTTCAGATTCACACCATCCCAAATCCACAAAGACCTATGAATCACACAATCCATCTTATAATGGGACCTCACCCAGTAAATGGTTTCTAAACAAGCAGTGCATTTTTTGCTCTGCTAGCTAGACAAATGGTTGGTTTTGGTTGCTAGGAGCTTGTCTCCCTAGATTATTCACTCCTGGATTAGAAAAGGAATAATGCAGAATCAACCTGAAACTCCTTGGACTGGTCTGTAAGGGGTGAAATTCAGATGGTTTCAATCTCTTTGATAAGCTCAACCAAAGGAGGGGCTCACATCCTATCTACCTAGTCCTTGTTTTTGAAGAACGTCTCTGCATTTAACCCCACTTTTTTTTTTGCAAAGTTTTTTTTCTTCTTCTGCATGTTAATTGCTGGCTGCGTGCTGGAATTTTGATATTTTCTTCTTCTGCATGTTAATTGCTGGCTGCGTGCTGGAATTTTGATATTTTCCCTCCTGGTGGACTCTTAATTGATTTAATAGTACCAGAGGTGTGAGTTAAAATAGCAAGAGGCAAACGGCAACAATTCTTCTTCGATTACTGAGATAATAATTTAATGACCTAATCATATTGAACTTTTACCAAAAAGTCTGTACATATTATCAGTTTGAAAATATTTTATATCTTCATTGTATTTTTATTGCGTTCTGTGTGCAACTCTCCTTTTTCTTTCTGCGCTTCAGGGGTTTGCAAATTGACATTATTCTTGCCAGCTGCTTTCCTCTTGGAATTTTCCCTCTGACCTTGAAAAAAGAACTTTGTATTCTTTTTTGCTTCTCTGCTGCCAGAACTAGCTGTAAGAGAGGAATTCTGCAGATTTATAAAATGCCTCCTAAGAGAGAAGTAGAGATATCTAGCTGTAAGTCAGACGAACCCAGTGCCAAGCTTCTTATGGAAGTATTTGAGAAAAAGTGCTCTTAAGTTACATGATATGCTAGAGACACGAATAAACAATCTGATAAAAAGTTTAAATTATTAGTAACAGAGTTAAAACAAACCAAAGAAGATGACAGCATTGTGGATAATTAGTAAGTGAAGGTTTTGTTCGTGACTGGTTTAATTATTATAGAATTTTTTAATGATTTAAACTTGATAAAAATGTTTTCACAGGAGTTAAAACTGAATTAGATATCACTTTATGTTCTAGAGATGACCACTTGATTGCTAAAGTTTATAATGTTATTCAAGATGAACCTGAAAGACGAATATGTAAAAGACTGCACAGTAAAATGGGCAAAACAATTTGGGTATAATATAACATTAGATAAATGGGAGAATGTGCAGACTAATGGATTAAAATTTACTTTGAAGTATAGTTTGAAAGAATTTTTTAATAAAATGATATATCGTTGGTGTTTGACTGTAGATAGATTGGCAAAAATGTATAGAGGGACTTTTAACAAGTGCTGGAAATGTAATCAAAATCCAGGTACATTTTGTCATATGTGGTGGTCTTGCAAGTATGTGAAAACATTCTGGATAAACATAATGATAATGCAGAAAATACTTAAGACACAAATATTAATAAAACTGAAAGCTTTTCTTTTAGATATTATGAATAAATCAACTGAAAAACCATTTGGGACAGTGGCCCCCAACCTTTTTTGTGCCGCGGCCCGGTACCGGCATCACAAAATGATCCGCGGCCCGGTACCGGCATCAGCACGCATGACAAGGCAAGGCAAGCCGAGCGACCGGCCAGCCAGCCGTCCCCTGCTTCTCCCCGCCACCTTCAACTCCTCCTTTGTACCTTTGTCGATGGGCTTCACTTCGGGACGGCTTCGGAACGGTCGCTCGGCTTGCCTTGCCTTGGGTGCTGAAAGAATCCTCGCGCCTTAGTTTTGTTCGAAGCCCCCCCCCCCTTCGATGAAACTAAGGCGCGAGGATTCCTTCAGGACCCAAAGCACTTTCTCGTCAAACAAGATGGCGGCGCCCAGCAAACCGGCGGCCCGGTAGGAAATGTTCCACGGACCGGGACCGGTCCACGGCCCGGTGGTTGGGGACCCCTGATTTGGGACACTATTTCTTTACATGGTCACCCCTGCGAGGTTTGTACTTGCTAAGCACTGGGAAGGGAAGGAGATGCCGACAGTTGAAGAATGACTTTTAAAATAAATAAGTTATAAACCTCTTACGTAAAGTGACAAAAGTCAAAGAACTAGAACTCTTATTACCTTTGAATCGAATTAGAAAGATATTGAATAGGATAGAAGATACCTTAAAGGGATTGCAGAAACTGACCAAGAGAGCAAGTTTGGTATGGTGGTTAAGCTACCAGGCTAGAAACTGGAAGCCAGTTGGGTGACTTTGTACCAGCCATTCTTAGAAGAAAATGTCAAACCACTTCTAAAAATCCTGCCAAGAAAACTGCAGAGAGTAATCCAGGCAATTATCACAAATAAAGATTTACTCAAAGGAACATATGCACAAACATGTGCACACAAACACACAGTGTTTGACACTGCCTGCAAATTATAGACTCTATGGACTGGGCTAAAGATTGAGAAGGCTAAAAATCTAATAATTTATTTTGCAGGAGGAATTATTGGTTACACTAATTGTTTGCCTTCTTTCCTGAACATAATGCATGTCTGCAAATGAAGCATATCAAGAGCTGATATAGCTACCAAGCAACCATTTTGGAAACAATGAGCCAAAGCCTACTAGAATGCATGAAGATAACAAGAGCAATATTCTACTTTCCCTGAGATTAGATGACACGCAAAATACATAGATGCTTAAAGCCATTGGTAAAAGATCAATATAACTTTACTAATCCTTTAACATAAAGGGATTAGTAAAACAACTCTGTGACCCTTGGGGTCATCTTTTGAGAGGTAGAACACTCTGATGTTATCAGAATAAATATTATATTTTAGGCTTGCCCTATTTTTTTAACTCCAATGTTGGACAATCCCATGATTATTTCAGAAGAGTATACATAATAAACAGAAAAATAATTACGGTAGCAAATGAACTTCAATAACAAATCAATATTTACTTGCCTAAACAGATACACAGAATGATCACATGTAGACAAAAAAGCAGTAGGAACAAGACTGATTTCAGACTTCCTGCTGGCTTCCCCATTGACTTTTCATGTGAAAAACGCAGGGAGTGTCAAAAATCACAATCTTGTGATAATGGAGACAATGCAACATTGTGAATAAAACTAGTCTGAAATCATGAAATTTCAATTTTATAGGAGTAATTCCTGGATTTTTACCAGAGAATTTTACGTACCTTGATTTAAAAATTATTGTGGTCTAATGTATCATTTGAGCTAACTCAAGGGTACAAATAAAAATAATGAGTTTTAATAGATTAATAAATATTGTTGTTTGGCAGAAGAAATAACAGATGCCCTCACCAAGCCACTATCTTAAAGTTCAAGGACCTATGTGAAACAAATAATTGTGATTAGGTGCATAAGCCAATGGTGGTGTTGGAAGCCTTCTATAGTAGGCATTCACTCATTGTATTTACTCAACCTATTGATCAGTCAGAGCAACACATCTGGTAAGGATTTTGTCCTGGTATTCATCATTGGTACTCAGCGTATAAGGTAGAACTTTTGTCGGGTGTCTTGTCGATTCACTATATTATTCCTAATGGGAAAAATTTGTTTGGTATTCATCCTTTTTGGTATTCATCACACCTCCTGGAACCAAATAAGGATGAATACCAAAGTACTACTGTATTACTATAGGATATAATCTGTCTGATGAGCCGTTGCACAGTGCCAATTCTTGTGATCTTACATCAAACAGATCATCCAAAGGCTACATAGGATTTATAAGCTTCTAGAATGTAGCATTACTCAAATGTTCATTTATTATATTTTTAAAAAAAACAATGGGAGTTAAATCTAAGGGTTCATTAAACTGTGTAAGAACATAGTTTGAATATTCCCTTTCCCTTTCAGCCATGACTTTATATAAACAACAACAATTTCTTCATCAAGTATTATTTTCTGGAATCAAAGACAGAAGAGAAGCATATTGCGTTGTTCATGGAAATAACTTGTTTTTTAAATCAATATAAGGGTGTTGAGATCCAGCACTATATGTCATACTATCAAAGGTAATCTTATATGACTATATATTTAATACAAAACATACATAGGGAAAAGAGTGAAAAAAGGCAAGACATTAATGCAGTAATCGAATATCAGTTCAAACTTTATTTCCAAGGCATTTCAGTAAATATTTATTACAACTTACATCCTACATCTGATATTAGAGACACTCACCTTAAATTACAAAGGAAATCAATTATTTCTTAACCCTAGCTTTATGGAATCTACTAAATTAGCACCAAGAAATATCCTCATATTCCCACAACAAACAGAGACAAAGTTCCAGTGGCATAGGAAAAGAAATGGTAATGACAAAAAATGATAACAATCACATTTCTATTTCTTTCATGGTTTCAGTTCAGAAAACATGAAACTCCCCCAATCCATCATGAAATATAGGCCTAAGTGCTTATACACTGGCTGTTGTTGAAATTGCGTATTTAGCAGGAATGTACAATGAGCAGAACCTGAAGTAGAAATTTCATTTTCTCATATTTTGGCCATCATGCATAGTCATTGCATCTTTAATATTTTTTTCTCCAAACTCCTACCCTTTTTGGAAGGTACTTTCTTATATCCTTTTTGAATATGTACATTACTTCTCTTCAGACTCGTTTAAATCTTAAACTTAATTCTTCTATAAATGTAAAATCTAATGGGGGATTGTGTGCTTTAACCTAATTATTTAAAAATAATAATTTAAAATAAAAATATTTCTTTTATAGAGCTGCCAGTTTTCTATCTGCAATGGATTTTAGGGAGCAGTATCAAGTTATGTGAATCCACAAGCAGAATATAGGTTTATTACTTTAATAACATCTTGGCTGATATGTTATTGAAGCACTGACACAAGAATATTATACTTTAAAGAGTCACCAAATATTTTAATTGCATTGAAGCAGCCTTCCTCAACTATGGATCTCTCCAATGTGTTGGGATTGTGTGCCTTGTTATCTGGGAATTGCACTCCCAATGTATTTGTGTAGGGCAAACTAAGAAAATTAGAAAATTATTTCAAAAGCTTAATACACAATTACAGAGAATTGAGCAATCACAGAGAATTGAGCGACTTATTACTTCAGTTTGAAGTTTTTGTGATGGATTAAAATATAGACATATTGTTAAATTTAAGTGCTTTGCTAAGAGAGTAAGGAAGCTTAAGACAGCAAAGCATCTCATAGGCCACATTTCAGGTGAATTGTTAAGGCTGTTGCTTCAAAAGCTGTAACTGGCACAACTGTGATCTAAACTTCAAAGGATATTTAAGACCATTTCAATACATTTTATCTATCACCTAAAGCAGGGGTGTCAAACTAAGCCCGCAGGCCGGATGTGCAGGCCACGCCTACCCCAGCTCCGTAAAGGGGGGAAACGTCGTGATACATCACGTGACAGCAACGTGATGCCATGAGTTTGACACCTGTGACCTAAAGCATCTATGGCTTATTTTAAAATACTTGTCTATGTTCCATAACAACAATGAATCAAGAAGCTGCATGTTGGCTGATCTAAATTAAAGATGCACTCTCCAATAGCTATCGTCCCATAAAGCAGAATTGTAATTAAGTATGCATAATCACTGTTTGTGTGTCTATGTACATGTAGATGCACATACACGCACACACACACATTATATTAAAGGAACAGTTTTTTCTTATGCTTCCACTATTTGTTCCATGGTGATTGGGCCATTTGCATGGGAATAGTCAGGCAGGCCTTCTTCATCCAAATCTGAGATGTCCGGTATCTCATCAGATTCTGAAGACAACTCTGTGATAGTGAAATCTGGAATCTATAGAAAAAATAAGCTCAAATAAATTTGAAGGCAATATTTGAATTGTACGCACCCTTCTCCCTCACCTTACCACATGCATTAAGCATGTAAACCAAAAGAATCAGCTAGTAAAATCTCCACAACTTTGTTGTAAATAGAAATAATTAAAAAGGAAAGAAAATGGGGGAAGGGGGGGAATAAAAACAATCAAAGTGCGTATTCATACACTTTCCCGACAAAAAAGAGCCAGAACATTTGAGATACCACTTGGGAAGAAGGTGATCAAGATGGTCATCATAAAGGGGTATAAAACAGTAAGTGAATGGGGAGAAGTTTTTCTCCTTTTAAAATCAGGATAGGCAGACGACTATACAGGAAGTCCTCCACTTACGAGGTTTGTTTAGTGACTGATCAAAGTTACAACAGCACTGAAAAAAGTGACTTTTTCACAGTTACAACCTTCGCAGCATCCCATGATCATGCGATCAACATTCGGATGCTTGACAATTGGTTCATATTTATGATAGTTGCAGTGTCCCGGGGTCATGTGATCACCTTTCGTGACCTACTGGCAAGCAAGGTCAATGGGGAAGCCAGATTTGCTTAACAACCGTGTTACTAACTTGCCAACTGCAGTGATTTCAATACATTTTATGTAACCATTATGTAACCATTGTAGCAAGAAAGGTGATAAAATGGGGCAAAGTGCACTTCACAAGTGTTTCACCTAGCAACAGAAATTCTGGGCTCATTTGTGGTCGTACATCGAGGACCGCCTGTACTTTTTCACCTAGTGCCTAATTAATTTGTGGAATCCCTTATTAAAAAACATGGTGATACCACTAACCTGGAAAGTTCTAAATGGGGATTGGATTAATCGGAGACAGTTTTTTTCCAACAGCATGTCTCCTAACACTAGTTGCAAGGAAACGATAGAATAAGGAAGGATATGTTTTCACCTCCTGTTTGAGAGCATCCCATTGTATAAACCAAGTGACAGAGTTGAGAGATGCCTCGTTGGCCCAACCCAACCGGGTGGTTATCATACAGAGTTGTGATCTCTTCAATACACAAGATACAGATAACTGGGGGGGTGGGGTGGGGAGGGAAATCTATCATTATTCAAAAAACCTGAGAATATTAATGATGTTCACAAAGAGTCTGATTGAGTGTTACCAGAAATAACTTTTAATTACAATTTAAAGATATTGAGCGCTCCTGGAGACAAACTACTGTAGTCCAGGTTTATTTCATATTGATTCTGCTAATGAAATACGATGCTCCAAAATATGATATTCCAGTATTTGGACTGAAAAGTTACTCAATGGACTGAACATAACTTTGCATTGATGCACTTTCATAACTTTCATCTTTGCTGCAGCATATCCTGATGCAACTAGGAAAAATCCCATCTCTTCATTTGTATATTAAAATGAAATTATTTTATTGTTAATATAATCTTCAGATTCCTGTTACCTCATTAATTATGCATGTGACTACTAGTAGGACATGACATAAATGTATACATCATTCTTTTAATTTATCTAAAATGATCGGAATTGATCTTGAGAATTTCCTCTCCTGTTGAGTTGTTTCTGGGGTGGGGATTGTTATATTTGTGTGTGTGTGTGTATTTCTCTGGGTTTTTTGTGCTGGTTATTGACTGAATACTTAGAAAACACTGAGAGCAATATTTTGACTACATCGAGGTGTAGTACTTTAACCAATGAGCTGCAGCTCACATTTCTTCCTACGACGCTGCTTAGGATCAAGCCAACATTCGTCCACTTGACTCCCTGTCAGGGGCTGCTCCGATATGCCCTCCTCCTGATTAATCTCAGGCTGTTCCTCTCGGTTGTCTGATGAAACCTGAGGCACCATCAGGGAGGAAGGCACTGCCAGAGAGGAAGGTCTTGGGGAGGAAGGCATTCCCAGTTCCTCCTCCTCATCTTCCGAGTCCTCTTCCTCCAACAGAACAGGCTCGGGAATCAGAGCCACAACACTCGTATTCCTCAAAACCTCAATACTGTATACAGGATATGTTGGCAATTTTAACGGAGCTTAAGAACTCAGCTAGACTGAAGCACTTCAAAAGCCCTACTTCATTCTGAAAATTCAAAATCACTGCAAGCATTTACAGCAGAGTTCAGTTAAAGAGACGTTCTGTGTTTTTTAAAACCTAAAATGTAGTGAATACTGCATACTTTTTTCCTCATACATATCAAAATGGCTTTAAAATAGATTATTTAGTTCTTCTATTCTGGTGAACCAAATTGTGGGCTTCTCAATAGGCCCTGCTGCAATTTCAGATTGTGTTCCAAGGACTCTTGCTCTGAAATTTCAAAATTATAACTTAATTCTACATGGTATTTTAATATTTCTGCATGCAGTACTTTTTTATGAAGTCGATCTACAAGGACATATGCTCATTTTTGAAATAAATTATGGCTGTATTAATATGCTAAGCCTCTAGGACGCATTTAAGACATCTGTTTGTGGAACCATTATTGCTATTGAATCAGCAAAAAAAAAAGATTTAGAAATTCTAATTTTATAGAGCTGGAAAAATGGTTAAAGACTTCCCTTTGTCACCTGCCAGAAGTCCCACAGATGAATTAAGTATTTATAGCCGCCAAGATTTAAATTGAGGCAACTATTTTCACAATATTTTATTCCTTGAAGTGTTTATCCTATGGAGTATGAGAAAATAAAAGAGCCCATTCCGGAGAATGGATTCAGACTTATAATCACCTAATTCACTTAATGACTCCCATAAAAAGAGTTGTAAAATCAGGTGCAGTCACGCAGGTGCCTCGTCTTACGTCCTTCATGACTTATGACTGAAATCCCAATCCTAATTGCGGAGGGCTACCTGTAATTTGCTGTTCAGTTATCAAAAACAACAAAAAATCCTACCTGAGATTCAGGCCAACAATGAACAATTATTTACTGAGACAGAATCTATTAACTGGTTTTATGTGTTTTTACGTTATTATATAAATTGGGGACATCACTAACTGAACAGCAAATTACAGGTAGTCCTTTGCATTTAGGATTGGGGATTTTAGTCTTAAGTCATGAAGGATATAAGACAAGGCATCTGCATGGCTGCATCTGATTTTACAACTCTTTTTATGGGAGTCATTAAGTGAATTTCATGATTGAAAGTCTGAATCCATTCTCCAGAATGGGCTGGGTTTTTTTTTTCCAATGAAAACTGCAGAAATCAGGAAAAAATCTTTGCAAATTGTGGTCCTATGACATTGGGATGCTACAACCAGATATAAATGGGAACCTTTCGCCAAGCATACAAAATGAAGTTATGTGACTGCAGGGGTGTATGCAACATTTCATGAAGGCCAGAAGTCTTAGGATCTTTGAGAGATGCTACGCTTATATCGAAACCAATTTTTTTTGGCTTATTCAGTTGAATTGATATTAATATACTTATTAACTAAATAATAGCTTGTTAAGTTATCATAACTTTTACTCTCTCTCCCAATTGGTATTGTAGCTTTCTTTACAATATTTTATTATTAAAATGAATAAGTCTTACATGCCACTAATTCATACAGACTTTGCATTAATTTGCAGTTCCTGTCAAAGGTTGCTTTTTAAAATCCCCAACATCCGTGGTCTTGGGCACGGGGTGGGGGTGAGGAGGCTGACAGAAGCAATGTTATGACCTTGCGCCAAAAGCCACATCATTTTTCTATACATCATGACATTGCTGTATTACATTGTGTGGGTCCCTGGAAGAGAGGCCCAGTGCCTTAAAACATGCTGCTTCAGCATTTAAGATAAATTCGTTTTAAAACTTTCTGGCCAAAACTTATACCCTGTTGTATTTCCGCCTTCCTTTAAAGGAATAGGAATCACTTTTGGGGTAAAGGGAAGCCTATGGCTTTCCAAATGACCTTACTTTGCAGCTCCCATCAGTTTCCATCATATAGTCAAGGATCAGGAAAAATGGGAGATGTAGTTCACCAGATCAGAAGTTAAGGTCTGTTTCATACCAGGCACCAGGTAATAATTTACATTTGTGTCCGGTACCAATTGAAATTTCTGCCTATGTAAGTCTATTTTGGGGTATGTTTTTATTTATGTTTATGTATTTATTTATATTTTCAGCATTGTTGTCAAAGCACTATGTAGAGCAAGGGTCTTCAAACTTGGCAAGTTTATGACTTGTGGACTTCAACTCCCAGAATTCCTGAGCTAACATGACTGGAGAAGGAATTCTGGGAGTTCAAGTCCACAAGTCTTAAAGCTGTCAAGTTTGAAGACCCCTGATGTAGAGGGACTGTGTATTTTAAGGAATTACTATATTATCCAACTTTGTGCTAAAGCATCTCTGAATACTTTTGAAGACTGCCAATCTTCCAGCCTCTAAATATTACTAGCATCGCCACCAAGCAGCTGGTACTTTACAACTTTGAATTGGGAACTGATTTTTTGTTTAGAGCCAAAACATTTTGGTCTATGAAGTTATTTTCAGAGAAGAACCAAAGATGATCACAAAGTGTCAATGTAAATTGAAGGCTCAACCTGCAATGCAATCTGAATGACAATAAATGTAAATCAGATTTTCTATACTCAAGTTATTATTTGTATCTTTTATGAAGGAATGGCAATAGCTCAGCCACTTGGCTTGGAGCCCTGATGGAGGTGCTGTTAGAAGTGGGTTGATGGACTTAACAGGAAAGATATCACCAATGTACCATTCTTGCCTTGTTTTTTTTTTTAATTTTGTACCTAATGTTCATTTTAAGTCATCTATAGAGCCATTTTGCAGTCAGACAGGCAGCTTGAAAATTTCATAAGTCGTAATGTTATTTTGATCATTTGTAGTTTTGTTTAATCTGATAAATATTCTGAAAATTCCTTTGTAAAATGTGTTACATGTTTACAATAGCAAGGACAAGTATAGTGATCTTATAAATCAGGCACCAACTAGATCATGTCCTCTGCAGTATAGTGTATTTAAACCACTATCCTTACCTCATGAAAGAGTGAGTTTACTATCAGTCCCCATCCTTTCTTCCAGTCCTCTTATCTTATGGGGAAAAAAATAAGCACCAACAAGGCAGAGCCCTTAATTTATTTTTATGAAAACTTACCAAGTAGGAAAATCTGCCCCCTAATCTTTGAGACAGCAAGTGACGATTATATTTTCCAAAACCGTGTTCAGCATTGTTTCTGTATTTTATAGTGAGTCTAGTAGCTGGAGGACTCTGAACAATTATTACCGACATTTTATGAAATGGTTTTCTGAGCTTAGAGAAACTATTAAATATTTTTGTACAAGAAAATGTAACCCAAGGGTCTTCAAACCTGGCAAGTTTCAGACTTGTGGACTTCAACTCCCAGAATTCCTGAGCTAACATGACTGGAAAAGGAATTCTGGGAGTTGAAGTCCACAAGTCTTAAAGCTGTCAAGTTTGAAGACCCCTGATTAACCAGACGAGCGTGCATTAGATCAAGTAATAGCAATAGCTGTTAGACTTATATACCACTTTATAGTATTTTACAGCCCTTTCTAAGTGGTTTACAGAGTCAGCATATTGCCCCCAACAATCTGGGTCCTCATTTTACCCACCTTGGAAGTATGGAAGGATGAGTCAACCTTGAGTCCACTTACACAGACATAACCCCTACTTCAATTTGCTCTTGAAAGACTAACATGTTTTCGAAGGGTTCTATTTTAATTTTCATTCAGCCTTCCTAATATGGGATTCTGTCTGAGAAAGGTTGCCCACCGTTTCTTCAAGTCAAGTTTGGGTCTATTACACCACATTTTAATGTTTTTTAAATCATTATCTCAAACCAGCTCTATTTTATCAAAGCCAATGATACTAAACAATGTTAAGAGTATTTTTGTCCACACAACTGAACCAAGTTAAGAAACTGTGTGCTTTGCCCTATTTTCATATAATGCCAAGATTGTGCACCAGATCAATTTCCCATATCCAAAGCAGGAATACTCCTACATCTAGAATTAGCTTTTAGGTCCAATTTCCAAAATGATTTGGAATATTTTGTGCCATTTTTTTTTTACTGCAGGAAGTCAATACACAATGATGGAATTGCGCAACCTGAAGAAAACAGTTATGGACATCTACCGTATTTATCGGCGTATAACACGCACAGGCGTATAACACGCATCTTCATTTTAAGAGGGAAATTTCAGGAAAAAAAATTAAATTTCTAAATAAAAACTTTGAAGCAAAATAAGGGTAGCTCAGAACTTTTTTTTTATTAATATTATTACCACTTATAAGGTAAATCAGTGGTCCCCAACCTTTTTTGTACCAGGGACCGGTTTCAAGCAGAAAATTTTTGCGAGGACCGGGGGGGGGGGG